CAACCAGGGATCAAACTCGGGACCTCGTGCTTGCCAGGCAGGTGTGATGCCACCAAGCTAAATCTCTGGCCCAATACCCTGTACCCTATATTTTTAAAAGATTCATGGAGGGGCTGGGGATTTAGCTCAGTGGTTTGGCTGCCTGCCTTGCAAGCACAAAGTCCCGAGTTTGATCCCAGTACCAAAAAAAAAAAAAAAAAAAATTCAGGGAATCAGGTATGGTGGTATATGCCTGTGATCCCTGCGCTCAGGAGGCTGAGGGAGAAGGATCAATGGAAGTTTCAGGCCAGCATGGCCTAAAAAATGAATTCAAGGCCACACTGCACTACAAAGCAAGACCCTGTCTTAAAAACAACAACAAAAATTCATGTCTCTTTTTACCTTAAATCTTCAATGCCTAATAAAGCAAGTAAAACACGACATTTGACAAATGATAGAAATTGTGAAAATATTTCAAAATGTGATACATACTATATTTTTCTGGGTTTTGTAACAATAAAAAAACTGAATTTCTTTGGCATAAATATACATAATTTTTGAAATAGTTAAGCTTCACCTACCTTGAGCATATAAAGTCAGAACTGCCTGGATGGCTACATATACGCCAGAAAACTGGTATGTTTCAAACATTACCTGAACATTCAGAGAAAGAAAAGAAATGGCATTTAGAAAGTTAGGTGATGCAAATTTACATGCTTCTTTCAATCTCACAGAGTGGATTCACTCACGGAAGCTTCAGAATCAGAGACCTAGAAAAGCCTTCCATTCTAATTAGCACCTCTCCTACAAAGACTGCTACCTACATGTCTGAACTAAAATTTAAATTTCTACATATGGGGAATAATCAAAAAATAGCTGAATCTTTAAATTTAAAACTTATTACACTAAAAAATTCATTGCCAGAACAATGGGAGCAGGGTATTTGAATCATGTGGGGGTATTCTGAGGGGGATTAATAGCAATGAGGTCTTTTATTGTAATTTTAAAAAAAGTAAATATTCAGGGCTGGGATGCCTGCTTTGCAAGCGCAGGGTCATGAGTTTGATTTCCAGTACCAAACAAACAAACAAAACCCACCAAAACATAAAACATAAATATTTAGTGTATTTTTTTGGTCACTTACTTTATTTATGTACTTACTTACTTATATTTTGTACTGGTGATCGAACTCAGGACCTCCTGGGTTGCCAAGTAGGTGCTGTGACACTGAGCTAAATCCTTGGCCCTATTCTTACTTTTTTTTTTTTTAATTGAATTTATTGGTACACTCTAGGTAGACAGTACAGTTACATTCATTACTGAGATCTTGTACCTTTACATGCCAGGTCTATTCATACTTTGCTATATCACCCCAAATTTTCATTCATCTTGATGAGGCATTCAGAGTGACAGGGATGAAAATAAAATTATATGTGTGCTAACTTGAAAAGTTATTAGAAGCCGCGCGTGGTGACGCATGCCTGTAATTCCAGCACTCGGGAGGCTGAGGCAGGAGGATCGCTGCAAGTTCAAGACCAGCCTGGGCTACATAGTGAGTTCCAGGTCAGTCTCAACTACATAGTGAGACCCTGTCTCAACAAATAGACAAACAAAAAAAGAAAAGCTGTTAGAATTTTTCTTTCCTTGTATTGGAGACAGAAGGTCTCACGACGGTGTTCAGACTAGCCTTAAACTCACTATATAGCCCAGGCAAGTCTGGAACTTGCAGCAACCTTCGTCCTTCAGCCACCCAAGTGCTGGATTATAGGCATACACTACCATATCCAGCTAAATCTGTTAGAATTTGATTTTATTTGTAAGACCATTAAAGTATTTGTACTACTAAAATAACTTCTGGATGAGATTAAAATAGGACATTATTAATAATTGCCAAAGCAAGCAAATAAATATTAAAATATGAACCATAAGTGATTATATTGATTCTGTAACTAAAAGCATGGCTTTAACATTCCCAAAAACTTCATACAAAAATTAAATTTCAGCTGGATGGAGTGGCACACACCTGGAGACCCAGGAACTGGGGAGGATGAAGCAGAAAGATCACTTGAGCCCAGGTGTTTGAAGCCAGCCTAGGCAAAATAGTGAAAACCAGTCTCAAAAGAACAAAAGGCCAAAACCAAAAAATTCGAGTTTCAACTCAACTTTCAAAATATTGTCTAACATAGCCGGGGATGATTTAGTTCAGTGGTTCCACTGCCTGCCTTGCAAGCACAAGGTCCTGAGTTCGATCCTCAGTTAAAAAAAAAAAAAAAAAAGCCAAAATCTAAAATGCTCCAGAATCCAAAACTTCTTAAGCATCACGCCAATGCTCAAAATGTTTTAGATTGCAGATTACAGATGCTCAACCTATAGCGAATGCAAAATAAATGGCTTATGTTTATTCCCTTCATCTATAGCAACAACAAGAAAAACAAAGTTTTGATGTAACATAACATCACAGAGATACACATATATGTATCTTTACTTCAAACTTACCTCTACAATCTTCTCTCTGTTTTTGGTTGGGTTCATAGGAGGTTCAGTAAGTAAGATCTTGCAATTTCTGGTATCTATGTTGAGTTTTTCTGGTCCAAATGTATAGTCCCACAGGTGTTTCATGTCATCCCAATTTCGTACTATGCCATTTTCCATTGGGTAGTTAACCTCTAACATCGAGCGTAATTCACTGGCCTCATCACCAACCATAAGATCCTAGAAAATTATAATACCAAAGCTTTAGACAAGTCAAGTTTTTACATAAAGAAGTTTTAGAAAATTATATTCCCATGGTATTCCAGAAAATTTTGGAATAATTAATTTTAATCCTTCTGGCATTTTTTCACATAGAAGTTTTTTGTTCCACAAGTTAAAAACCTTTTCTTGTAAGAAAAATGTCTTGGAAAATTTAATTATAGATAATCAATTTTTATGGACTATGTGGTTTAAATCAATAAATTGACCTTACCTTTAATACATGTTTCCAAAAGAAGAGCAATAGCACAAATAAACCCCACATTTTCATATTTTGGAAGATTTGTATGAGGTTTCATCTGTTTCTTTTGCTCAAATATTCAAAAACTAAGTCCTGTGATATGTGAAATAGCACATCAGGGAAAAAAATCCTGTAGGAAAATGATTGATGCATGCAGCACATCTTTGTACTACTAATTATCAAAGTGATAAATTTAAGTACTAGAATCACAATAAAAGCAAAAAGTAAAGTGATTATTACTCTATAATAATACATTCATGTACCAATGAACATAAATTTCTCAAACTTCTACCTACATGTCTGAACTAAAATTTAAGTTTCTACATATGGGGAATGACCGAAAAATAGCTGAATCTTTAAAATGTACAACTTACTACACCAAAAGACACATTGCCAGAAGTATTCTGAGGGGGATTAATAGCAATGTGGTCTTTTATCGTAATTTTTTAAAAAGTAAATATTCAGGGCAAGGGATATAGCTTGGTGGCACAGCGCCTGCCTGGCAAGCATAAGGTCATGAGCTTGATTTCCAGTACCAAAAAACAAAAAACAAAAAACAAAAAACAAAAAAGTAAACATTTAGTGTATTTTTTGGTCACTCTGTATGCCTCATCAAGATGAATGAAAATTTTAACAAAGTAAGAATAGGGCCAGGGATTTAGCTCAGTGGCACAGCGCCTGCCTGGCAAGCGGGAAGTCCTGAGTTTGATTTCTCTGTACAAAAAAAAAAAAAAAATTAAGAATAAGAAAACAACTCATTCATTGGAATTATGTTACAGGCAAAGTTTTCAGCTTAAAGTATAATACTGGAAATCCATACTACCACATAGAAAGCATAATACTCAACTCTTATCTCCAGTGAGAGCATATTTAAAATGGCCCACATTTGAAAAATCAAGTTTTGTATGTAAAAGACTAATAATGTCCTAGAATTTAAACTTATTTTAGAAACCAGAGTCAAGAAATTAAATATTAATTTATGTGCTGATGGACTCAGTTTTTAAAATATCAAAAGTAAACAGCCAGGCGTGGTGGCGCACACCTGTAACCCCAGCAGTTGGGAGGCTGAGGCAGGAGGATCGGTCGCTATGAGTTCAAGACCAGCCTGGGCTACATAGTGAGTTCCAGGTCAGTCTCAACTACATAGTGAGACCCGGTAACACTACTTGCTAAATATGGAGTTCAACTTACAGGAAAATACGCAAATTAACATGAGATGACTTAAAATGGAGGTTTGAAAAAGATGAGTTTTAAACTTTAAAAAAAATTAATCAGGTAAAACTAGGATTAAGAATCTATTAATGAACAGATTTCTGGAAAATCCAACAAAATCAACATCACAAGGGAAAACAAAAGCAGAAACTAGAAATGTTCACTAAAACTTTCTACTGCAATAAATTTTTATAGTTTATTTTCCCATAACTTAATAATCCAAATTTCTTAACTTCTAACTACTCAGAATCTTCAGGGGAAGAAAACACAAAATGAAAAATCTGAATTTCTGAAGACATGTAATATGCTGAAGTATTTAGGGAGAAGTATATTGGTACTTTGAAATACTGAACATAAAATTTAAAAACCAAGATAAGTCTGATGGGTAGATACTTCAACAGTATGTGAGAAATCAGTATTATATGTTAATGTCAGAATCTAGGTGGTAGGTACATGGATTTCACTGTAAAATTCTTGAACATTCTTATATATTTTATTTTATTTTTTATTTATTAACTTTTGGTACTGGGGATCGAGATCGAACTCAGGTCCTTATGCTTGCAAGGCAGGCAGTGGAACCACTGAGCTAAATCCCTGGCCCATTTTTATGTATTTTAAATATTTAATAAATGTTAGAGGAGAAATCTGTACAACTTTTGGTTATTAATAAATCTAATTTAATACACTATTCTTTACTTACTTTCCCCTATAATGAGTGTATCTTTCTTTGTGTTATATGCAGTTATTAATTGGTTTATAAAACCAGTTAATATTTAAGCCAGTTTAAAGTCTGATCTCATTTCAACAAAAAACTTTTTATCCCATTCAAGAAAAAAGGTTTAAAAATGGCTGACACAATGCCAACTCAAAATAAAAAGCCCATATATCTTTTTTGGGGGGTACTGGGGATTGAACTCAGGACCTTGTGCTTGCAAGGCAGGCAACAGAACCAGAGCTAAATCCCTGGCCCAAAAGCCCCATGTATCTACTTCTAGGACCATGCATACCATAAAGGATTAACTGAAAGGAATATTTGGCACTGAGTATTCTTAGCTCCTTCCGCACAGAAAGGACATTTAAAATGGACTAGAAGTGCCAATTTATTTGAAAAGTGCAAAGCTTCTTTACTATTACATTCACACTACCAAATTTAAAAATTCTATAGCTAAAATTTTTATTTAAAAGTACAATCTTCTCTGTAATTATTGAATAATCTTCCCTAGGACTCTTCAATTTTCCAAAAAAAAAAAAAATAATAATAAAATAAAATAAATGCTTTGAATGTTATGTAAATTGTCCTCACCATCCCCCCCTAGAACCAAGTTATAAACAACCAGATCTGGCCTTACATCTTTACTCTCTATTCCACTGCTGGACTTAATCTATTATTTGAAAGAATAAAAAAATCATCTATTTGAAAAAATGGAAAACAAACAAACAAACAAACCCAAACCAACAGTAACTGAAACATTGTTTGTCTGGCCTTTGTTTTACTAAAAGCAGGCAATATAGATTATACTTGCCAAGAATCACTGTGAACAATGTCACCTCAAATTAGAAAATAAATACAAATTTAAAATCACAATTACATCCCTAAAAAACAATTCCCTTAAAAAAAAAAAAAAAAAAAAAAAAAAAAACCTGTTAAATCAAGGCTACCCTGTTCGTTTATTTACAAGTACACACTTTAAAAAATCTCTTCAGCCGGGGATTTAGCTCAGTGGTTCTGCCGCTTGCCTTGCAAGCACCAAGGACCAGTTCAATCCCTGATACCAAAAAAAAACTCTCTTCAAGATTTTAAGCAAAGGGCCGGGGGTGTAGCTCAGTGGCGCTGTGCCTGGCAAGTGCAAGGTCCTGAGTTCGATCCCCGGTACCGCAGGGGTGGGGGGAACAGTGTAACTCCGGGAGTGGTGGCGTACACCTGTAATCCCAGAACTCGGGAGGCTGAGGCAGGAGGATCGCTGTGAGTTCGAGACCAGCCTGGGCTACACAGTGAGTTCCAGGGCAGTCTGAACTACATAGTGAGACCCTGTCTCCAAAAAACCAGAAAAAATAAAAAAAAACAGTGTAAGATTTTTAAGACAAATGCATAATTATTTTTATAGGAAAAATATAGAAATTTCTTTTTGTTACTTTTGTTTATTTAAAAGACTTCACAAAGTATCATTACTAGTTAAAACAGATCACATCTTTAGAAATACCTGATTTTCATGTTTTTCAAAATTGCTTACAAATGCTATTAAACAAACTTGAAAATATCTTTTATAGACACACATCTACAGACTCTGAGACAAAAAGGTAATGAAAGAGCCTAATGTCTGGGATAGGCTATTCTAGGTGAATAGAAAAAGGCACCTCACAATGGTATTTATTTGGGGGAAGGTTTCTATTGATTGTAGGAAAGCCTTACAGATTTACCTTTAACTTATTTATCCTCAGAAAATATTGCCCAATCTATTCATTGGTAAGGATGATAAAGAAACAAGTCATTCTTTTATTTTTCTTTTTCCATTTATAGTTCATATATATTAAAATTTATCTCACTTAGTAAATATATATGATTCCACAATGGATGCAAATATATATATATACAAGGTATGACGGGCAATATTTTAATTTAATATTGTCAATAAAGTGAATTTATCCAAACAGAGCTTCACTACAATTTTTGGGATCATATATATCTTACAAAAAGGGTACTTGGTTTCTACTATTATGTACATCACATTCCAGTTTAATTATAACATTCATCTACAGAAAAAACAAGGAAAACAATTCAAAACTATGTTAGTAATTAGCTCTTATTTGATCCATTGTATGCAATCAGGAAATACAAGACTTAATTAGTTGCTAACAAACTGAAGCAATGAAAAGGGTTAAAAATTAAAGTACTTAAAGTAAAAATATGGAATCATCCCCCCTCCCCAATACTAAAGGGGCACAAAACAACAGCTACTGTCCCACCAAGCAAAAGTGGAAAACAAACAGAGAGCATGTGTGTAACCTCACTTACCATCTTTTTGTTATTCTACTTCAACAGGTCAAGAAAGGTGAAGAAAGAGAAGGTAGAAGTAAGAGTCAGAAAAGGCCTAAATAAAATCCTCACTGAAATTTTTAAACATACAAGCAACAGACAAATTAGGTTGAGGTCAGATGTAGTACTAGTATATTTTATGGAGTTAACAATAAGGGCCAAAGTAACATGGACAGTTATTACTCCTGTATGAAAATTAACTAATAAATGATTTAAATTTCCATATTTTTAGTCAATCATCACATTTTAGCTAACAAGACACACAAATACAAGTCAGTCCACTACGCACAGAAATTCCAAAGAGTCAAGCTTCCTTAATTCATTACTGAATTTAAGAACTTTAAGAAAAATAAAACAGTTATAGCAAAGTTCTAGCTGAGTAGGCAGAGGGTTAGTTCAGGGTTGTCCAAACACTAGCACACAGGTTAAAATCGACAAGGTCTCTCTATTTTACTGAAAAAACAATTTAACTTGAAAAGCTTAAGACTGAGCACAATGAAAAGAACTGAGATAATAGAATACAGAATGACAAATTGTATTAGCAGTACTATCAGGGAATTCTTTGGCAAAAATACCTTATTAGAATATCAAAGTGTATAATATCAGTTGGCCTTAAAAAAGGAAGAAAGTGGGCAAGAAGAGATATCCATTTATGCCTATGTTGGAGAATGACAATGGCTATATAAGATGATCCTTTATACCTCAAAAAAAATTTTGTCCATAAATATAAAAGTCACACACTAAGTAAAAATATTACCCTCAAACAGTAGTTTGCCCTTATCGCTATTATTAACTATATTTGTAGTTGAAATTCTTTTAGAATTTGATTAGAATGGCAGGAGTTCACAAAAACAGAGTAAGGAATCCCATAAATGTCCCAAAAGATCCTTCATTTTGAAAAGCCTTATACGGAGTGTACCACTTTTGTTTTTGTAACTTAAGAGGCCAGAATTCAAATTTTTAGTCTTTTAAAAATTAACATCCAGTGGGGTCAGGGATTTAGCTCAGTAGTTCCACCGCCTGCTTTGCAAGTACAAGGACCCGAGTTCGATCCCTGGTACAAAAAAAAAAAAAATTAACATCAAGGAGCCAGGGATTTAGCTCAGCAGTGCCACTGCCTGCCACACAAGCACCAGGTCCTGTGTTCGATCCTTGATACCCCCCAAAAAATTAAGAACCTGAATTTCGGGCCAGGGATTTTGGCTCAGTGGTTTCACCACGGGCCTTGAAAATGTAAGGGCCGGAGTTCAATTACCTGGTACCAAAAAAATAATAAATAAATAAAAAGAACCTGAATTTCAGTTTCCCTTTTGTTTACTGTGCAACTCAATTCTCTAACCCCCTACTTTCCTATATATCTCCAGTGACTGTCCCAAAGACTCTCCAGAATGCTAGCTTGTTCACAAAGAATTTATTTAGAGTCCCCTATATTCTACTGCATTCCGTAGAATTTGATCTCAGGGCCACCTGAAGAATTTAAACTCAATTGGTGACCACTGTCGCTTTTTTTTTTGGAAACAAGGTCTCACTCTTTGTAGTTCAGCCTGGCCTTGAACTCATTGTGTAGCTCAGGCTGGCCTCAAACTTGTGGCAATCCTCCTGCCTCTGCCTCTCAAGTGCTGGGATTATAGACATGAGCCACCATGCCCAGTTCACTGACCTTTTGATTGTTCTATTCTTTTTTATAAAATTGCTTAATTCCCAATGATTTCTAATCTGTGGGAGAAAAATCTATCATTCATATGTAGTTTCTTTATCTAAGTAAAGCAAGCAGGTGATGACAACTTTCCCTCCTCTCCTCATTGTTAAAATAGATAGTGCAAGGCCAAATAAAGATCTGAACAGCTTGCTTCAGCACATTATAGAAATCAGTTATTACATTAGTGAAAATGAGGGACCAATGAGATTTACATTCTGTGTTTTTCTGACTAGCTACATAAAAAATGAAAACATGGGGGAAAACATCTAAGGTCCCAAAGTGACACTAAGATGTAATGACAAATATATCAGAGTAAGAGACGTAAAATTACCAGATTGATTTCTTCTAAAAAGTAAACTATATAATAGGATGACTTTAATTACTAATTCAGTGTTTTGCATCAATTCAATGTTTTTAAAAGTTATATTCCAGGTAGTAGTATCATTAAGAAATACATAAATAAAATTAGATGATACTAACTTTTTGCACCCTTGTTCAGGTGTTAACATAAATTAAAAAGGAGAAATTCTACTCTCCTCCTTTGCTTTTCATGGCATCATATTTTAAAAATACTTAATTTAAAGAAAATTTCATATGTCTTAAGAGTCATTTTAACAATAAAACATTACCTTGATTTCAATGTTTCCCACTTTGGTGGTTGATCTGATAATAGGTCTGCCAACCAAAGCTGGGAAGATATGTTCTGGAAAATTGGAGCCTGCATATCCACACTTCACAAACTGCAAGGAAAGAGTAAAAGTGGTTAGTGTCAAGATACTTACTATAATTAATTAAAAACAGCAAATGAAAAACACCACTTTGCAATGATACAATATTTTAAACTTACACTGCAAGGTGTGGTGGTGTACACCTATAATCCAGTGCTCCTGAGGCTGAATAAAGCAAGAGGATCAATTCAAATTTAAGGCCAGCTTAGGCTACACAGTAATTTTAAGGCCAGCCTGACATGTCTCAAAAACAAACAAACGTATAGTGCTTTCAAATTACCCCAAGTAGTCACCTACTCTATTACTCCTTTTCTTTCAAAGCACTAGCTCTGAAGTTCATGGGTTACTTTGTTTTTACCAGTTAACTGTTTATTGGTGCTTACATTCCCCCAGTAAAGGAAAAGCCCCCTAAAAGTAGGTCGCAAAGCTGAGTAGTTCATGAAGTCTAACAGAAGTCTTGGTGCACAGAGGTCATTCAAGCTGTATCAACAAATGGTAAGTTTTTGTTTTTGATTTTTTTAAATGAACTTGGGGTATGACAGCACACACCTGTAATCCCACTACTCTGGAGACTGAAGCAGGAAAATCACAAGTTTGAGCCACTCTGAGCAACTTGTTGAGACAGCGTCTCAAAATAAAGCAATACAGGGAGGGAGATTTAGCTCAGCGGTGCTGCCGCCTGCCTCAAACACAAGGTCCTGAATTCAATGCAGGTACGGCAGAAACAAAAACAAAACAAAAGAAATATAAAAGGGCTGGGGATGTAGCTCAGTACAAAGGCCCTGGGTTCCATCCCTAACAAAAACTAGGAAATGAATAGAACTAAATCTTAATTCTAAAGTAGGCTTTATATTATAAGCTTTACTTAAACTCATTTTCCAAAATGGGAAAACCAAAGCCGGGCATGGTGCACGCCTATAATCCCAGAACTCGGGAGGCTGAGGCAGGAGGATTGCTGAGAGTTCGAAACCAGCCTGGGCTACACTGTGAGTTCCAGGTCAGTCTCAACTACACAGTGAGACCCTGTCTCAAAAAAAGGAAAAAAGGAAAAACCAAGTGGCAACAGGACCAACATCATATGAAAGTAAACATTAGGTGTTTTAGGCTATTTACATTTTTACAGTTATATTTCATATTCAGATAATGTACTTCTAAGAAAGGCACATTAATGCTTCTAATAATATTTCTATTTTATGTATGTAAGAAACTGAAAAAAAAAAGGCATTCTAGGTGATATAGCAACTACAGTAAAACTTTTAAAAGAAGCTAAGCTAAGATTTCTAATTTCTGTATCAATAATGTTTTAAGAGCAAAAAGTGACATGGGGGGGAGATGTAACTCCCAAACCTACTAGATATCTGAAAAGTAAGTTCGTGTTCTCTAAAATTGAATAATGAATTGTAGGAACAACAGAGGTTAAGAATAGGAAAAATAGGGGCTGGGGATTTAGCTCAGTGGTTCCGCCGCCACCTGCCTTGCAAGCACAAGGTCCTGAGTTCAATCTCCAGTACCCCCCCCAAAAAAAAGAACAGGCAAAAGAACAGGGGAAAAAAGCCTCTAAGAGAGACAGAAGGGGAACTGGAAAGTGGGTTGCCCAACTCACCCCACTTCTCAAATATGCTTTATACAGCAAAGCCATGTGGTGAGGCGGGTACAAGGTGAGATAAAACTGCAAGACCCAGTGGAAAATTACAAGGTGGGGCAAAACCATGACCAACAATAAAATTACAAGTACACTCACCAGGTAATATTGATTAAACGGGGGGGGGGGTCAAATGAGGGAGCAAGTCCCGTAGCAAGAGTACAAGCATTTTCAATAAGGGTGGAGATCAGGGATATTTCCTGGAAAGGCTGGGTTAAGACGCTGGCCCCCCACCTAGGTGACTGAAATCTATTTTGAACATCAATCACTTTTATTCCCAGGGGAAGCACAAAGGTTACTAGTTTCTCTGCTTTTACAATTCTGGCCTTCAGTGAATGTGTCTTGATTGTCCTCTATGTTGGCTCCTTGCTGTGTTGGTTCCTTGAGGGAGGCCCTGTCTAACTGCCTACAAGATATCTAATTAATTTACCTATCTGCAATAAAAGGGGAATTACAAATTTCAGAGTGAGAGGAGGAAGATATATTAATAAAGGAAATGTAATTATAATCTCTACCCCTTTAACAATTTAGTTTACTGATAAAACTCCAGCACCTAGAATGGTGTCTGGCACATGGTAGGTGCATGTTCAACATTAAAAATTTTAGCTGGGTGTGGTGGCACACACCTGTAATCCCAGCACTCGGGATGCTGAGGCAGGAGGATCGCTGTGAGTTTGAGACCAGCCTGGGCTACATAGTGAGTTCTCAACTATGTGAGACCCTGTCTCAAAAAAAAAAAAAAAAATTTAAAATGTTACTTCTGACTTATTAAGAAAAAGTCTTTAGCATAGTGTGCATGCGTGTGTGCATGAGTGCGGTCTCAAGACCCAATCCCCTGCTAGGCATGGTGGTGCACACCTGTAACTCCAGCACTTAGGAGGCTTAAGCAGGAAGACTGCCCTGAGTTTGATGCCAGCCTAGACTACACAGAGAGTTCAAGGCCTATCTGAACTACACAGCGAGACCTTGTCTCAAAGAAACAAAAGAAAAACATTAAAAACATTTTTAAAAATCCTTCAGATACTAAATAACGACTATACATTTAGTATCAGAAAAAGTAGTGTTCTATGACTCCATTGAAGAATCAGGATGAAAACCAGAATGTAACGCACAACACTAATAATACAAAAATGGACAGAAAATATTAATGTACCCCTTGATGGAAACTACAATGTACAAGGAATTGTTTTATTTGATGTGGTAAAATTTAGCAGCATCTAAACCTCAGTGACTTTTGACTAACCCACCTCCAAAATATAAAAATATTCAAACATCTCTACAGCAACCTTGTTGGAGATGATGCTGATGAACCACATTTAACTATAAATAGCCTAGAACATTCTGCCACCCAGAATTTACTTGTCTTTCATAAAGAGCTTTTTAAATGTTAAAATTATGATTTAAACAACTTAAGCTTTTACGAAAAGTCTGTCAGAAATTTTACATTCCCAATGCCACCTTAATTTGTCCTTTCAGTTTAATTTTAGAACCTAAGTAAAACACACTATTCAGATATGTTTTCTTTTATACCCAAAAAACCTACTTTGGAAGTTTACCAAACTAGGACCACCAATGCTAGGGTATTTTTCAGGTACAGTTACCCATTTTTAAAAGTGTAATACCATACAATTCTTATTGGGTTACCTCACAGTACAGAAGTTAGTAATATGGTGGTATATGTATAGACAACCTGCTTGCTCATATGTACCTCTCATCTGATTGTGGCTGATGGTGAAAAATGAGAGTATACTTCCCAACTAAACAAATACTAAATAGAATTCAGGATCACTGGTTCATTTTTCCACAATGCCTCCTCAAATAATTAGTATGACCTAGAAGGATGTGGAGGAACAGTTTAGCACAGAGGAAATAATCAAAATCCTGCTCACTTTGTATGTACTGAAATGATGTGGGAAGGTAGAGAAAAATATTATTTTCATCATCCCAACCTTACCCAAATTTCAGTACAAATAAAATGTCATAATCACTAGTCTAATGTCAGTAATAATTTATGCATCTATCTAAAAAATGTAGACAGTAAGTACTTTTTGAACACTAATTTCTTTTTTTGTCTGCAGTTCTGATCCCAGGGCCTTGCACATGTCAGGCAAATGTTCTACTACTGAACTACAATCCTAGTCCTTTTCAATTTTTAGTTTGCGACAGTCTTGCTAGGTTGCCCTTGCTGGCCTCAAATTTGCAATCCTCCTACCTCAGCCTCCCAAGTAGCTGAGATTACAAGAATGTACCACACCTGGATTGAATAATAAATTCATATATTTAACCTCAAAGTAGTAAGTAAATATGGAGAGTGGGAGGGTTATAAGTACTCACTCACCAAATTGAAAATGCTCACTTATTGAAGTATAAATGTTCTCACAGGAAATAGAGAACAACTGACTAAAGAAAATCTACACATTTGCAAGGCCATTTTCTGTGTACTAACTGGAGATTAATGATTTTGTTGAATAAGAAATCATATCAGAAGTTGAAGGAAGGAGAAGCAACCTGGGATGGGCCATAAGTCAAACCCAGGTACATGGAGGAGGCTGCTAAGGTTGAAAAATCTTCCCTCTCACCGGGAGCCATATGCACACAGTGGAAACGTAACAGGGCAAAATGGTAAATAATCACATTAGTGTTTCCTGATTACTGCATAAATGTTCAGGTAGGTAGCTCATATTTTAAAATTCCCGAGTATATTTTAAATGCCAAACAATTGCAAGTGCCCCAGAAGACAAAAATGGAAATTTCTGGGCTGGGGATTTAGCTCAGCGGTTTGTTGCCCTGCCTTGCAAGCGCAAAGACCTGACTTCAATCCCTGGTACCAAAAAAAAATTTCTAATACTACAGAAATAACTGTAAATCTAGTAACCGCTTTACAAAAAGAAAAAAAAAAGAAAATTTGGGTTTTCAAATTAAGTATCACTTACTAATAGCTTAATCACTTACTTATAGTAAACTTACTAATCACTTACTAATTACTAAACAATAGCTTACCAGAAGCATATGCTTAGAATTCAGGGTTAGCATTCCTAAAGGGTATTAGATATTCCACCAAAATAGAAACTTCACTACTTCACATAATTTCAAATGTGAATGCATTAACAGTTATAAAAACTTAATTAAATATTCCATTTTTCAATAATATAAATTTAAAAGTCAACCTGACCACTCCTTTCTGGCAAAAAAACCCCAAAAAAGTGCGTTTAAAAAAAGTGAAACCATGATGTGACAAAATACAAAGAAATTATTTTCTAGATTGTTCACTTGGTGCATCTTTACAATTCCTCCCCCATGCCAATCATTTTAAGACCTGGTAACTTAGTTCTCTCATTGTATGCAATAGGCTGTTTAACAAATAGATTTTACCATATATAGTTTCCTCTTCACAGCACTGTGGTTTAAACTGCCTCACTTACTTCCCATTGAGTCATCAAATGGTAGGAGCATGAGCAGTATGCTCCTCCAAGCAAAGAGGAAGAAAAATATGTTATCTTCTCTAAAAGAACAATTTTTCCTCAAAGAAAAAAGAGGGGGGGAGTTACAAAGCTCTGTGTGAGTTTATTTAGTCTGTGTTCTGTTACTAATTTTATCTGATGGTACTGGTATATTAATTTAAGTGCATCGTGACTGTTCTTATCTTTGGTAACCAAAATATTTATTTATTCCAAAGCAGTCGGTAGGGTGAAACCAAAGTTTTTGGTTTAATCTCTATTTCAAACACTCCTAAATTCAAAATGTATATTAGCATAAGCCTGACAAAGCAGGGCAAAATGAACTACAAATGTGAATTAATTATTCTAGAATTTTTAGCGTCTCTGTATCATTAGATTTTTTTCTGGGGGGGTTTGAGACAGGGTCTCACTATGTAGAGACTGACCTGGAACCCAACTATGTAGCCCAGGCTGGTCTCGAACTCACAGCGATCCTCCTGCCTCAGCCTCCCGAGAACTGGGATTACAGGCATGCACCACCACACTTGGATGTATCATTAGATCTTATTAAGCATTATGCCAATAAAATAGTAGGCACTCAAGAAGTCTTCATTTTGATGATGAACTAATTACAGGTGAAATCACCCAAGTTTGGTAACAGGATATACAACACAAGGGACGTGGGACCAACTAAAAGGGACCAAAACCTGGAGCTCTACAGAGGGTCTCCAGATGTTTCCTTTGCTGGCCATTTTCAGTGGCTGTTTTAGATTTGAGAGGCCCATAAACTACTGTAATCAGATAAATTTTTCTCCTGTAGGATGCCCTAAAGTACTGATCTAGCTGGGAGAAAATGAGGAAATGGAGTAGGACTGACCTGGTCTGAAGAATGTACCTACTCTTACAGTATTGAATTTTGTGCTTGCCAAAGGGATTTTTAAAAAATCAACTTTTCAGAGCTGGGATATGGCTCAGTGGAAACTACCTGGTCTTGTGGGTCCGAGGCCCTGGATTCAATCCCCAGCATAATAATAATAATAATAATAATAATAATAATAAAACAATTTCTCAAACAGCCTCCCCCTTCGGTTTGTTTTTTGAGACAGGGTCTTGCTATGTAGTTCAGGCTGGCCTTGAACTCACTATGTAGCCTAGGCTGGCCTCAAACTCATGGTGATCCTCCTGCTTCAGCCTCCCAAGTGCTGGGATTACAGGCATGCACCACCACGCCTGGTTCTTCTAACAGCCCATAATTTTAAAACCTAAAGCATTTAAGGGACAAATGAAAACATTTCATATTAACTACTAATTCCATGAATTTTAAAAAATTAAATCTGAATGTCTTTATATTTAACTGTAAAGGCATCATTGTAATTCCACATACCTAAATAAAATAAAAATGATTATGTCTTGAATAAATAGAACATAGACTGTAAGTAGTTACTAGTCCTCTAAATTTTCAGAAATATTACAACATTCCTGATTGTTATATAACATATTTTATCAGTTGTTTCTTCATTTGAAACCAACCATGTCTAAGGAAATTACGGATAATATTTTTAAGCAAATATAACACTAAGTAATACTGTTGTGTGAATTTTCAGCTTTTTATTTACTTCATAATAACAGATGTTTTGTCCTAAGAAACAAGATTCTGAAGTAACAGATTACATAATCAGCTTTCTAACATTAGCTGCATTAAAGAAGTAGCAATATAAATATTCACTTATGGTAACATTCCTATTCTAAGTGAGTATCAAACCTCATATAGGCTGTGCGCACATCTGTAATCCCAGCTACTTGGGAGGCGGAGGCAGGAACATCAATCAGATCCATTCTGGGCAACTTAGAAAGCCTCTGTCTCAGAACAAAAAAATAAAGGGCTGGGCATCCTTTGTGTGTGGCACAGCACCTCTGGGTTTAATCTCTAGTACCCTCCTCAAAAACAAACAAAAAAACAAAATCCTTATAGGCGCTAGCAGCACAGTGCAAGCAAACAAAAAAACCCCACATGTATAAGCACCCTACAAAGTGCATCATCCAGAACCCCTCAAAGAGGAATCCATTAAAGTATAAGTTTGAGTATCTGACACGGTTACAGACAAAATAATTTTATTTCAATTTTTAAAATTTCAAAATTTAGAAGTCAGTTTGAGACTACAGTGGAAATCAAGTGAATATATTTTAAAAGTATCTTTAACTGAGTTTTAACTGTACAGTCATGTATGTTCAGAGTTAATTTAGTTGGCTGAGGCAGGAAAAGGATAACCACGAGTTCAAGGCCAGCCTGGACTATACAGTGAGACCCTGTCTCCCAACACTCAGGAATCTGAGGCAGGTGGATCATGATTTCGAGGCCTGCCTGGGCTTACACAACCAGGCCCTGTCTCAGAGACAAACATATTCATTAAAAAAATAGGGTAAACTTCAATCATTTGTAGGTAAATGGATACACCTCGAGATCATAATTTTAAGTGAAATAAGACACACAAGTTTAAATTCTGAATTGCTTCTCTTGTGTGAGAAACCCTAAGGGTAAACAAGGAGCAAAATGGAGAACAGATATTGGTGAGTAGGAAGAACATGTAGTAGGGAAGGAGAACAATGGATGGGGCAAGGGAAGGAAGGGAGAAGAATTAAAATCAGAACGCAAGGGGGAAAGAAACAAAACCAAAGCTTCTGTACAAGGGGAGGGGAAAAAGGGCTGAAGTGGGGAAGAATTGAGAAATATTATGTACAGGTACAAATTCCCTATGATGAATGTGAGCACTATGTATGGCAAATATATAATAATTTTAAAATAAAAAATGGGATCATATTTCAACTTTTTAAAAACTTACTAAATCTCAGATATGTTTTAATAGAAGTGAATCTACCTTCTTCTAAAAAGTGTTTTGTAGCCGATGTGGTGGCGTATGCCTGTAATCCCAGCACTCAGGAGGCTGAGGCAGGAGGATTGCTGTGAGCTTGAGACCAGCCTGGGCTACACATAGTAAGTTCCAGGTCAGTCTCAACTACATAGTGAGACCCTGTTTCAAAAAACCAAAATAAATAAATAAAAAGTATTTTGTATACAGCCCAGGGATTTAGCTCAATGGTTCCTCCACCTGCCTTGCAAGCACAAGGTCCCAAGTTAGATCCCTGGTACCAAATTAAAAACAAAACAAAACAGTATGTTGCATGGGTGTCCCACTGTATTATAATATTCTCCTTATTCTGACAATTTTTAACTTAGTTCAAATGAACTAGTATATAAAATCATTGCTTGTGAAAGTCTGCAAAAACAGTCGAGGGCAGTGTTAACAGTAGAAAATACAGTTATCACACCTCTTGCTCCAAAACAATCCAGTTTCCACAGCTTTATAAAGTTCAAGTAAAACCTATTTTAATTAGTAACTTTATGGGAAGTCACAAAATGTCACAATACCAAAAAAAAATGGTTAGAAATCACCCCAAAACATATGCAAAATAAATAACATTTCCGTTTTATTTCTTGACTTTGCTGCCTAAAATGTATTTTTTTTAAATGGGGAGGTGCAGAAAAAACACTTTCAAGTAGTTTCTAAATCAGTGCTTTAGTCCGAGTTACAATTTTAGAATCTTCAAGACTAATCTTTGTATTCTGCACTTGAAAAATGAGGCAGGAGGAATCAAAACTGTAATTTCTCTCAAGGTTATTGGAATTAACATTTGGGGAGAAGGGCTCCTAGATTCCCCAAATCATCCCAGCGGACTCTGGTCTCTATAGGGTTGCTTCGCATCTGGACCAAACTACCAATACCCAGAACAAAAAAGTAAACGATGCGCTGCCGACCCGACCTTCTTCTCTCAAAATAACATGCGGAGGGAAGGAAAGGAAAGAAGCCCCTAAGAAGCGCTGCGAAAGGCTGAGGCCGCTGCAGGATGGAACTTCCCTTTTTTTCCTGTAAACCCGTTTCCTGCCTCCCATTCGGTAACTTCAACTACACAGGAAGAGGAAGGCCTCTAGGTCTTTCTCCCTGTTACACACCGGTGAATCGGGGAAATGGAGCCCTCCTAAGGAACACCGAAGCCCAGCCTTTTACTCCTGTGGGCACTTTGGACAAACTGTCCCCGCCGGTGCAAGCAGAGGCCCCCTCCGGGCAGTAGCTGGGGTCCGTGCCCACCGCCCGGCAGTCTGCTGCC